ACCCACCACGTAGTGCACGGAACATATTCGGCAATTGATTGAGGGGAACTGAAAAACAATTTTCTGCACACATTCTAGTGAGGGCAGCTGCCTTATGTTGGGCATTGTGGCTTACCAGGAATGATGTAGTTTTTAACAACAAATGTGTTTCATCACCTGTGCAGGTTATTCATGTATGTTCACTATGGCTCCGTACTTGGTCTATCCTGTAGTGGCCGGAGGACAGAGACCTTTTTATGATGCGTCTACACGGCTGGAGCGTACGGCCAGGGAGGTTTTCTACCCCCATGAATGGCGGTGTGATCTTCGGATAGAATCTGCCGCATCCTAGGATGGCTTATGATTTTTTCTTAGTTGCTTTTCGAATTTTTCCTTCTTCGGACTTGTGGATTTGTTGGCTGTGTGCATCTGGTTATGCAGAGGCCGGGCGTTCTTTCGATGCAATTGTATCACCTCGATATTTCAATTCAATGAAATGCCTTTTATCAAAAAAAAATGCACAAATATAGAAGAAATAGCAGAGAAAATTATGATGGCTTCAATTTTGAAGAATTAAGTTTGCACATTGCCTCGGCAGCCTCTAAAAAGTAGTGGAGTGCGCTTCAATTGTTGTGGAGGCCAACGTTTTGGCAGTCACGGAGTGAGCTCCAGTGCGTTTTTAATGCTACCTTTTGGCCACTCTACTAAAGTTGCTCTTATGCCCTGCCATCTCTCCATGCTACCATATATTCCCTTTGTCAAAAAATATAATAGCGTTTAGATCACTTTTTTACAGAGGGAGTGCATGCAAACCCCATATAACGTTAACATATCTTCACAAAACCTTACTGTAGTACCAACAATTAGTAACAAATGCGAACGAGCATAGCCCAGATGGTTAGGTTTTTTATGGTGAAGCAAGTCCATCAAGATTCAAATACTAGACTTGGCACTGGTGCTCGCATTATCCTGGATTTATTTCAGGCTTTTCGACAATGTTTGTTTAGTGGGAGACGTTCCCGTCCAATCTCAAGATGTTATTTGCCTATGGAGAATCAACAATTATTTGTGCTCATATAAACATCAATAATTTTAGAACGTTCCATTTACATAGATGCATACATACACAAGCAGCACCTCAAGGCTCCAGTTAATCTAACAAATTCAACTTCCTTTTTCGACAGAGGGTGAACTTTATTAGCTCAAAATAAAGCACTTGCCTATGGAGAATCAACAATTATTTGTGCTCCTATAAACATCAACAATTTTAGAACGTTCCATTTACATAGATGCATACATACACAAGCAGCACCTCAAGGCTCCAGTTAAGCTAACAAATTCAACTTCATTTTCCGACAGAGGGTGAACTTTATTAGCTCAAAATAAAGCATAAGGAGAATACAAAACTCAATGAGCATACACCCGATCTCTGCGTAACTAGGGTATACACAGCCAACACAAACACATACAAAAACACGCCGGCAACTAGCAAAGTCATACAAGTCAAAGCTATGTGTAGGCGAGAGAAAAAAAACAAAATGACAAAATACATAAAAGAATATGCCTGAAATGCACAGTGCTAGTAAGGTGTCCATACACCTTTATTTGATATATACTCCCCGGTCGTATAGTGATACAGTTGATCGCATTAAGAAGAGGGAATGTGTCTGATCGATGCAGCAATGATGACGATACAACATGTGATGCTTTATGTGATCGATACGATCGATCGGATGTGGCCTGCCTGCAGTGACCTCTCATCTTTTGAGAGGGCCCGGTTCAAATTGGTTTTCTTTTTCCGGGGAGAGATCTCTGTGCCCTAAAAGAATCGGGAACTGTGTACGGACTCTTTCTCCCCAGACTCAAAGTATAAGGAATAAAGCGCATGCACTCCGACTCCCCTCTACGCACATATGATCGATGTGTGTATGTGTGTGTGGAGGAGTATATGCATGGCATGGCGTGGCAAAAACTACCAGTAGCAGCAGTAGGCCAGGCCAGTGGCACATAAAACACGACTCAAAAAAGTGGCGCATAAAACAGCCACATGGTGTTCAGCAAAGCTGGGGCTTTTCGGCATTCCTGCTCCCTTGAAAGCAGGCTGCGTTGCTAGACACGCATCAGCCATCAGGGATTGGCGAGCTCGTTGATCAGGTCCAGATTAGTACTAGTTCTCGGGTTTCAGTGCCGATCGAAATGTGTCTCCCTATAGGCTAGCTAGATAGAGTGCAAAGAATATATATACTGAAGTATATGCTATGTTCATGTGAGATCTAACAATGACCTAACAACAGCATGCATGTATTTCTAGTGTTGCAAGCTTAGTGATGTTTGAGTTGTAAATGCCTTCAGAGTTCAAACAATTACTACTGTAGTAGGCAGGGAGAACTCCTAGAAGAAGTGTTCAAGTGGTTTGCAATGGTACGTACTTACTACACTGGTGCTAGGTGCTGCAGCGCCACTAGGAGCGGAATTAACTGTCAGGGAAAAGCCAAAGGATGTAACAAAGCCAGGTTAACAGCATCATTGACCGGTCATTACTGTGTGCATTTGCATCAAAAGTCGGGCGCGAACAATGTTCTTTATGGGGATACGAATTGCGAAAAGGGGTTGAGTGATCAGCCGTCCATAACAAAAGGATCAGAAATGCATTACTTCCCACTCACGCCGCCGGCCCAAGAGAAATCCTATCATGCATTCATCAAATCACCATCCCATCTAAGTTTCACCGCCGCATTGCGCTTGAATTTCTATTACTATTCACAACCGCATGTACTGGACAAACCTACTTAGGGCATGTACAATGGTGGCATATGGATACATATACCTCATGACAAAAAGTAATTTGAAGCACCTACATTCATTTTTCCTCTCCAATGCAAGCTATCACTAGTGTGTCTCATTAAGAAATAAAAAAAATAAAGACTCTAGTACACATGCATCTCTACTTTTCACTTCACCTTTTCAGCTTTTGTCACCGGACCACGCTTTTTCTCTTCAAGCACCCGCCTCCTGAAGAGGATCCTGCTTCCCTATCCGAACCTACTTTACGTCATATCCGATCCTACATGACATGTGAGGCATCACCTTGAGGCTATGCATTGTACATGCCCTTAATAGTTAGTTATAACTTCTCCTAAGCTCCTACCTCAGGAGAGCAAGCTATCAGCTTCTTTCTAGGATTCTGGCATTTGCCATGTAGTAGTATGGTGTATGCACAGTATGATGTGTTCAAACTAATGCGAGCTAGTAGTGGTCACAGTCAAAGAAATCTTTGGTCACATATGACCCAAAAGGGAAGCAAAAGGGCCAAGCCCTAATCATCACAAAGCCATTCGCCCCAAAAGGAGCGCTTCAAGGGAGAAAAAGTATATACGCAGTTTGAGAAACGACTCGAGCAGAGATCGAGAAGAGCAGCAAATACTACTGTAAAAGAAAACACAAAGACAAAAGCAGAAAAGAAACCCTAATCACTGCATGCCCTTCTTTTGATCTTTTCTTTTCTTTTTCTTTCTCTATCTACTACGTACTACTAGTATAGCTACTTAATGGAAGCAGCAGTTAGCTAGGCTGCTGTTTAGATCTTTCATGGCAAAGGGGCAGTTTGGTGTGCCCAGGGATTAAACAAGCACTAAGCACTGTGTTGCCGCAGGCAGCTTTTTAAAGTGGAGCTAGAGTGGATGCTAAAAAAGTGCATAAGTGGCATTATCTGCAGGAAAGCTTCCGCATTTTCATACCTCTGGGCGCGCTGCTAATGGGAGCAGAAGCTGCGGCAGAGCCACTATGCTACCTCTACAAGGTAATGGAGAAAGGACACCTGTGCTTCTGCCAGTGCAATTATAAGTAAGATATGTATTTAAGAAGATGGTGGATAGATAGCACTGGCATGCTTCTTTTTCCCTCCCAAGAGGCTGTATTACACTATTACCTGATTCACTCTTGAGACAAGAACACGATATGCATTATTCAGCTTGCTTTAAAGGCTGTTGTACATGGAAAGTTGGTGAAGAGAGTACCTTGAACAAAATATAGAAGATGGTTTTGGAGCTGCATAAATTCAGCGACAGCAACCGCTTCCAGCCCACCACTTTGTGCTTTTGGAGCTCCATTTTTTTTTTCATTTTCCTTCTTTTTGCCCGAGGAACCCCACAAACAAGAGGCAGATGCATATAAGAACGAGCTTGATCGGAAAGTAAAAGCCATCCAGATGGATGTATTCTACACGCAAGAGAACCAAGAAGATTCATAGCCATTTAGCTTTATGATAGAAACAGATAAAAGAGGCATGATACTACTCCCTCTGTTCGGAATTACTCGTCGCGAAAATGGATGTATCTAGACGTATTTTAGTTCTAGATACATCCCTTTCCGAGACAAGTAATTCCGAACGGAGGGAGTACATGTTAGCACCTTCCCATCAGGCTTACTGGGCCGGGCTCTGGGGCTGACAGAAAGCGATGAGCATGTCCACCACTATGAGTACGAACATTTCCCACCACTATGTATTCTACACGCAAGAGAAACAACAAGATTCATCACCGTTTAGCTTTGCGATGAACACAGATAGAAGGGGCATGACACTTACAGAGCAAGTCATTTGGGCTGAATGTTAGCACCTTCCCATCAGGCATGCTCGGCTGGGCTGGGCTGGGCTAAGGAGCTGACCGAAAGCGATGAGCATGTCCACCACTAAGAGTACTAACATTAACATTTTTTCTTAAAAAAAACTAACATTAACATTTCAATTTTACTACAATTAGCTTCACATCATCAAAATTTGTAATGGACCATGATCAATTCCAAATAAAGCCATTGGCTGACATAAGATAAGATTTTATTTCCAATCTTGTATTGTTCTTTCCAAATTGGAGCAGGGAAAATCCACACACAGACAAACCCTTATTGCAGAAATTACAGAGTCAATTGTACGCATGATAACTACAACTCGGGTCACAAAAACACATGTAACCAAGAAACGGCCATGACAAAACTGACAGCGAGTGCAAAGGACAAGGACACATCTAGATAGCAGCGAAGTACTCCTTGCTGCCCTTGGGGTCAGGCTTCATCGACTTTTCCCCAGGTTTCCATCCCGCCGGGCAGACCTCGTCTGGGTTTTCTTGGACGTATTGCAGAGCCTGTCAATGAAGAAAAATGTTGATCAGGTTATACAAACTTGTATCTCCTTTTCTATTAAATATTACAATTTGCATTATAGCTAACAACAGGTACCTGCTTCGTTGTGTTAAACACTAGATCAATATTAAATAGTACTTAAAAAACAGAAATTGCATGAATCCTAACAGTGTCAGGTACTATATCAAAATTAAAGAAATATAATGAAACTGCACGCTAAGATGTTTGTTCTCTTGTTATTCTACCTGAAGGGTTCTCAAGGTCTCATCCACACTACGGCCAATACCAAGGTTGTTAATAGTGGAATGCTGAATCACACCCTCCTTGTCAATGATGAATAATCCTCTCAGAGCAATTCCCTGGTAAAAATAACATCGAGACCCTCATGAAACATCACAACAAACAAGGAAAGGCACAAAGGCATACTAAAAGCAAAATATCCAGGAGGATGAGCAGGCGATATGAAACAAGCAGGTGGTCAAAAAACAAACGTCAGCAATACCTGATCAGGGATCAATACACCAAAAGACTTTGAGATTGATTTGGTGACGTCAGAAACCAGCGGATATTTCAGATCACCAAGTCCACCAGATTTCCTCTCTGTCTGCACCCATGCAAGATGGGAAAACTGCAGGCAGAAAGCATTACAAGTGTCTTAATAGGTGACATCGATGAAATATATGTCGCAGTTACTTATAACTTCATAGAATAATTACAGTGACTAATAACTACTCCCTCTGTAAAGAAATGTAAGAGCGTTTAGATCACTAAAGTAGTTATCTAAACGCTCTTATATTTCTTTACAGAGGGAGTATAAGGCTATAAAATGATATGCTTAATGCAAAACCAGATTAAAATGAAAAGGACAGGGTAGCAATACTGCCTGCGCACCAGTCGCTCCTTTTCTGGATATAGGTAATAACGGTGCCCTTTTAAGCAGAAGGGATACAAGATAATAAATGTGTTAGCCCTACATCATCCTCAATGGAGTTAGTGGGCATATGTAACACGTGGTATACAAAAATCTAGATCCATTTATCTGATTATTACAGATCATTCTTTACTCTCCTATTCGCACAAGGCATAATTTACATTGCATATGTTCATCCAAAAGATATAACAAAGCTCCAGCATTGCGACCCTGCAATGTTAACTCTTATGTTCATCCTCAATAGCCCTACATTCATCCTCAATGGAGTTAGTGGGCATATTTAGCCCGTGGAATACAAAAATCTAGATCCATTTATCTGATTAATACAGATTATTTTTTACTCTCCTATTCACACATGGCATGATTTACATTGCATATGTTTATCCAAAAGATATAACAAAGCTCCAGCATTGTGCCACTGCAATGTTAACTCTTATGTTCACCCTACATTTATCCTCGATGTAGTTAGTGAGCATATTTAGCACATGGAATAAAAAAGATCTAGATCCATTTATCTAATTAATACAGATCATTATTTACTCTCGTATTCATACGCGGCATAATTTCTGTTGCATACATACATCCAAAAGATATAACAAAGCTCAGCATTGTGCGACTGCAACGATAACTCTTATGCTCCAGACGTGCTCAGATTCAATTTTCACATGAAGAAGGAACACGCATTCATTGACACAATCCGAACTTGGTGTTTCAGTTGATAGTGTGGATCACCGGATAGCTGATTAACTGATTTATCAGCCAATTAACTAGAAAATTCGCCTATTTATCCCTACTCAGCACCCGGCCGATATGGTACCAGTTACTGATATCCTGAAAATTGGTATTCATTGACACAAACAGATGAACACTTAAGAATTAATTTCTAGATAAGGCACTTAATGCATGTCAGAGCTAGATGAAAGTTTCAAGAGAGCAGCTATGTGTCCAGATGGATGGAAAGTAACATACCACACTATCAACTGAAACACCAAGAATTTCAGTGTTTATCTTCTCGAACTCCTCATGTCTGTCGCTGAAAGCCGTAATCTCTGCAAAATTTGCATGTATGCATTTTAGAAATGACAGACAGAAATGAATAGTTTCCTTCACGGAGCACAAAATGGTTAACGCACCAGTTGGGCAGACGAAGGTGAAGTCCAGAGGGTAGAAGAAAAGAATCACATACTTCTTCCCAATGTAATCAGATAGCTTGACCTGTATGTAGTTACACCAAAAGGACACCGTCAAAAACATCACATCCCCGACCAAAGATACAGCTGCAGCGTTAATGAATCGTGCACCAAAATCTGAATTATCAACCGGGCAGAGCACAGTTTTGCTCGTGTAAGCAAATTGGTAAACGGACAATGCAGTTGGTTACGGGCTTACGTTGATGAACTCCTGGTCGAACACGGCCTCCGCGGCGAAGTCCGGTGCTTTGTTCCCCACCAGCGGCAGGTCGTACTGTGGACACAAATATGCATACACACATGAAATTCCACTCACAGGACGTACCATGGCAAAAACAAATACCGAATCCAGGCGCAACAAACCTCCGCTGAGGCGCGGGCGACGAAGCTGCGGGCCCTGGCCGTCCTCGAGCTGGCGGCGGCGAGGCGGGAAGGCCTGGCGGCGGCGCCTGCGATGGCGCGGGGAAACGACAGGCACTGCGGCGCCCCGGCTGGCTTCGGGGACGCGACGAGCGCGGCCGCCGTGGACACGGTGGAGGCGGAGAAGGCGCACGCCATGGCCGCGGTTGTCAGGCGGGGAGTGCCGGGGAGGGGATTAGGTAGACTCCAGATAGATAGGGTTCCCGAATATGAAGAGGCCGTTTAAGCAGAGGACGTGCCACTCCGCCAGTGGCTCTCCTCGGTGCCGCGTGAGCTGGGCCGAGAATTTTGGAAGCTTCTTCGATCCATTCTAGGCCACGGCCCGGCGTCAAAAGCCCGTGTATGTAGTTTTCGCCCCAATAAGAGATCATCTCGAGTTCGATGCCGAATATTCTTGCGCCCTATGCGCCGCTCGTTGCGGCGAATTGCCGAGCAGGCGCACAGGCCCGACTCCAGCTGGACCGGCCAATTATTGCAACACAGTGAAAAATCCCGAAAAAAGAGTGCTCGAGGGAGGGATCGAACAAGGGACACTACTAGCCCGTCAAGCATGGAGGCTAATGCAGGAGCCAGATTCACTTAGTGCTCGAATCCTTAAAGCGAGCTATTACCCAAACTATCATTTATTGGAAGCTACTTTAGGCTTGGCTCCGTCTCAAGTGTGGCGCTCGATCCTCGAGGGACGGGAAGTGCTTGCTTTAGGGCTAATCAAGAGGATTGGCAATGGTAATGGGACAAATATTTGGCACCAAAATTGGATACCTAGGGACTACAAACTCAGGCCAATTCGTCCGAGGTCTGGAAATCCGTACATGTATCTGAACTAATTGATCCCAGCACCAGAACGTGGGATAGGTAGCGGCTCCAGAAACACTTGATAGCTCCTGATGTGGACGATGTCCTTAACATTCCGCTGAGTTCTCGGGTCCAGGAAGATTTCTGGACATGGCATTATGATAAGCGGGGGGTATTCTCGGTCAGGTCAGCGTATAGGATGATCATTGCAGTAAAGACACAGCGTGAAGATTGGCTTGAGCGTCGTTCTGGCCACTCCAACATAGCAGCTGACAAGAAGTCATGGACCGAGCTGTGGAAAGTAAAAATTCCGTCAAAGGTTCGTGTCTTTGTTTGGAGGCTAGCTCATACTTCACTCCCTACTGGATCCATTCATTGCTCAAGGAATATGTCCACGACTGATGCATGCTCAATTTGTGGGGCGTCGGACCATACATGGCGTCACTCTCTAATCAACTGCCGCATGGCAAGGTGTCCATGGGCGTTAGGAGATGAGGAGCTCCTAGAGCATGTAATATCAAACAACACTGACGATGCTCGGTTATGGCTATTCTGGTTATTCGAGTCGACAGCACAACAGGATCTTGCACGGGTTTTGGTGACCTTGTGGGCAATTTGATGGGCTCGACGAAGGGCTATACATGACAATGAATTCGAAAGCCCGATTTCCATGTGGTGTTTCAGACATGGAAATTGCTTCTGCTAGACAATCGCATGAACCGATAGCACAACCGGCACGGCATGCTCGGAGGTGGATTCCACCAGCAGGCACAACTGCGAAGTTAAATACAGACGGCGGTCTTTCCCGCCAAGGTGATCGAGGTGCGGCGAGGGTTGTATGCAGAGATCATACCAGACGGTATCTTGGTTCTTCTGTTACAGTCTATGATGGTCTTGTGAATGATGCATCATTGGAGGCACATGCGGTCAATGAATCCTTGGGCGTTAGCTAAAGACCTACACATCCAAAGCCTGGTTATTGCTTCAGATTGCCTTGAGGTGGTGACAAGTATCAAAAAGGGAGCAGCCACGGTTTACGCAACGGTGATCAGTGAAATTAAGCATCGGAGCAGTGACTTCAGAGATGTTTCTTTCAAGTTCGAGCATAGAGAATGTAATTTTGAAGCTCATGATTTAGTTAAGGCAGTTGTATCACTGCCAGTTGGTCACCACATGTGGCTAGGGTGCTTACCAGACATTATTTGTATTCCGAACGTCATTGACTTCTAATAAAGTCCCTAGTTCACCTTAAAAAAACAAGGGACCTCATGTTGCTTACGCGCGCGCCTAGCCAACACGATAGATAAGCTTTCTTTGTTTAGTATGGCGCGTGAAGCTAAAGGTAATGTAGATCCGAACATTTTACCAAATTTCGAACGCAAACATTATATTAAAAAATTATTTTTTAAAAGTGGCACTTTTCAAATTTCAGAAGATCCATAAAAAGCTCGAACATTTTTTGAATAAGTGAACAATTTTTTTGTTAAAGGGAACATTTTTTGAAACCCTGAACAAAAAATTGGAAACACGAATATTTTTTGAGTGTATGAACAATTTTTGAAAAAGAACATTTTTACAAACTCAGAAAAAAATTGAAAATGAAGATATTTTTCAAATTTTCGGACATTTTTTGAAACATGAACAGGTCTTTATGAAATCAAGAACATTTTTTAAAACCGTGAAATATTCTTAAAATATGAAAAAGGAACAGGAGAATATTCTGAATACTTTGGAAAATGCGAACAATTTTGTTCAACGTGATGGAATTTACAAATATTTTTTGAACATGCGAACAAATTTTGAAAAATGAGAACAAAATGTTGACAAACAATTTTTGTAAACATGAAAAAAAAATAAACTCTAAACATTTTGAAAACGTGAACAAATTTTGAAATCAAAGCCAATATTTCGAAAACATGAAAAAAATTTTGAAACTTTAAACTTTTTGGACAACGTGAACAAATTTCAAAATTCTGAACTTTTTGAAAAAAGCGAACAATTTTTTAAAACGTCAATAAAAAATTTATTTTTGAAAAATGTAAGAACGAACAATTTTGGAATATGTTAAACATTTTTAAAATTTGCGATTTAAAAAAAGGCAAACAAAAAATATGACCTGAAAAAGAAACAAAAAACGAAAACAAAGAAATGAAAAAAAAAGAAACAGAGAAAACCGAAAAAAGATATGAAACAGAAAATGAAAAAAAACAATCATAAAAGAAAACCGCTAAACCGGTATAAAAACAAAAACCGGTTCGGGGAACCTTCTGGAAGGTTCCCAAAACCGGCTGCATCGCTTTGGGATAGTGGGCCGGACCAGTTCTTGCGCTCAGGGGGATCGCCTGTGCGAACCCTCGACAGTTTGACGCAGTTAGCGTCAAATAGGATTTTCCGAGCCGTTGTACGAAAAGATCACGGTGAGGGGACGGGGTCGTACGCGTCACTGCAAGTTAGCAAACCCCTTAAAATCGCAAATTGTAAAACTGGGATACGGGTCGAAAAAATGTATTTTAAGGGTTCATTTTAGCTACGGCCGAATAGATACCGTAAAACAAATTGTAAAACTGGGATAAAGAGTTCCTTCCTCCAGCCCGGCCGATGCCGCCCCTTCCCCCAGCTGGCTGCGCCCAACCCCGTCGGTCGTGCCCCGTCCCTGCCGGTCGCGCCCCATCACCACGCCGGCCGCGCCCAGCCTCGCCGGCCACACCTCGTCGCCTCCGCCGTCCGCGCCTTGCTCTATTGCCAGCCGAGTCGTGCCCCTTTGCCTGCCGCGCCGTGAGGATTCCGGCGGCCAGGCTGAGGTCATGGGAGGCCACGGCTATGTCGAGCTCGTCCAATTCAAACCGCGGCGATCAATTGCGCCGTCTAGCGGCCTTTTCCGGTGTGCGGTGATGAATTCCGACGAGTTTAGGGCGGATTCCGGCAAACTCCGCGGCGGCGTGTTTGCTCCGACGAGGTTTGACCGGTATACAGAGCCCCTAGGTTCGGCCTTCCAACCTCCAAATATAAGGGTTTCGGGTGTGCATTTTTGTGTCCCTTAAAAAAATTATGGGTTGGACCACTTTTACGGTTTCTGTTCTGGACACTACTTTCGACCAAAACTGTAATCGCAAAAATTATAATGGTTTGACCACTTATACGGGGTCTGCTAGGGATGCTCTTAGCATGCATTGACCGCCAAATCAGACGGTAGGGCGAGGGTCCTCGCGCCGCTAGAGGATCCTCGGAAGAGTGAGGGTGTCGGGACATGGAGAAATAACGCGAGGTCGTGTCACGGGCTCACGCTACGCCATTTTTTCTCACTGCACAGTCACTGGACTCTTTTCGCACGGTACGTCCCTTCCTTCCAGACGCACTTAAACTGACCTCGAGCTCACGTGAGCTTGGTGGGTGAACAGTAAAACAAATGTGAACCAATCTGTGGTTGGATGGTTAGAGGGACAGTGATATCCCCAGCCCACCAGGATTCAAGAGCTGATGCTTGCATTATTTCTGGATTTATTTTAGAATTTTCATCGATACGTTTTTACTGAGAGGAGACATTCCCGTCGATGACGAGACGCCTACGATGACTTTGTAAATATAAGAGGATATGCCGGTAAATTTCAATATCGGATGATACTCGTGAAAATGTGGCATAAGAACAAAGTTGATGCTCCAAATGTGGTATTTTTCAAAGCATTTTGAGCATTAATTTCGTTTTTTTGTCATGTATTCCACTAATGCCATTTAGTGATGAAGCATTACAAGCAATGAAAACATTTTTCAAATTTTGCTAAAAAGAATCAAAATTATTTGTTCTTTTAGTTTTACTGTTTACTCGAGCTCACATGTTTCAAACTCATGAAGAAGGTGTGCAAGAATGTTATGTCATGCATGGCTAATACCGGTGGGGAAGCTCTCTTTACAAGTGTTCCCTCCATTGGACTTCATGGATAAGCTTGTGACACAAAAAGTTAAAAGGCGACATGGGTATTCGAGATTGCACTTCAATCTTGTGATGCTTGGAAAGCATGGCTAGCATCTTTTTACTAGCCATAGTCCTTGTGTGCGCGGGTGTTGAAAGAAAAATATTCCCCCACACCGATTTCCTCCATGCAGCAACCCTAGCTCGATCTTGGGCGACCTTGAAGGCCATCGTTGCAGGGCGGGAGGCTCTGAATGTGGGTTTTTATATAACTTATTTATTTTCTACGTAACTTTATAAGTATTTTTTTGTAATGTCCTCCACAACCATCTCTACGTGGACGGAACACTTCTTCTCTGAAGCTAATGGGACGAACTGGCACTACCCCGTTGGACAAGTATTAAATCTTATTGACAGCTACACAGGAAACAGAAAT